AGTCACCTAATGCGTATGAGTCGGTGTTCTGAGTAATGGGTTTAATACAACCGCCCACTAAGGCTATGTATATGTATATGTGATTGCAATGCGTATCATGGGCCGTTAACTACTTAAAGGATTTACTTGCAATAAACCAGTCGTCCCCCCAGAATCATCGTCGCTTTGGACTTTAGGACTTGTTTGTGTGTGGAACATACACGCTGGCGATGCTGGTAGCTTGAATCTGGACATTCTTGCAAACAAGATCCCTATCTACGTTGATTTAGTGGTTCACTATTCACGTTGCAATACCCAAACAGCAAAGCCCAGCTACAGAGACAACGAGGATTCGAAGGACGATCTGCGACAACGGGCTCTCCTCCGGATGAGTAGTCTTGGAGGCCTTTAGGGGACCGATCTTTCTCGCGCTACTATTTGAAAAGATGCTACCACGCTTCACTTGCCTCTTTTCTCATGAGGTGTCAGCGTAAGATCTAAATAGGGTCTCAAAAGCGTCATAAAACGCGTCATAATCACAATTCATGGCGTCATATTGGGACCAAACTCGCTTTACAGTGTGTGCATAATTTACAACGAAATAAGATAGCATGACTGGTGGCAGGAACCAAAATAGCGCAAGTGAGTCTGAAGTGACGGGGAAGACGAGTATACAGTCGTATGGGGAAGTAATGTATGCATCAAAGAATACTTACCATACAAATTTAAAGGACGATAAGCACAGAGGATGGAGAGAATTTTCGTCCCAGTTGGACTACCTCAGTATTCCAGGATGAACCTGTCATGATTATGATCGCGCACGCTATGGTATCGTAGCAATTAGCATCAACGTGACCCAGAGCGACGCATTTTTTTTGCACCACAAACAATTTCCAGTTTTCTGTATCATCATTCATATTACATTCTGCAACCTGAAGATATCTTCATTTACGCCACCTGGAAAGCTTGGAAGCCAGCCTATCAGACAATGCCTTTGGTATCCGTCCAGACCAGGTTGGTCAGCAAGCGCTCTGGGTGGAAAGTCAGATAAAAAAACCAGAGACTATATATGTATATTTATGAAATGACCGTTATGCGAGAAAACTCACCAACACACAATGTAATTCTGTGTGCCCAAGGGTCACAGCAAGTCGTCAGCAGTGAATGTTCTCGTTGCAATGATACAATGCTCTCAAAGAGCGAGAAAGAATGGTATGAATTCAGACTAGGTAGATATATATTGGTGGCTTCGTCCTGTTGCGAATCTGTGGAATACTCTCCAAAGGAGCGATATCGACGATAAGCTCTCGTAGCCCGAGATTTCCAGTCCTAGCAGTCGTTCTGCTCTTGCTTCTCCGGCGATCAGCCGTGAGGTGTTGAGGCTGCCAACCAGACATAAACATCATTCGCCATCCTCGCCGTCATCTGTGATTCAACCACAATGCGTTGGTGGCGGTTGGTATGTAGTCCAAGGCTAATGGATTGGCTCTACACTGTCAATCAAACCCTCGCCGAGAGACCGTCACGTTTTTGCTGTCACGACTGCTTCTCCCAGTTCAAAATAACGTCCCGACATTGGCTGTTTGGCATGACCAAGACACTAGTTCTTTCTTTCGCCGTTGCATGGCAAACTACTTCACTGCCTTTATCTGGTCAGAGAGGCACGCATGATGCCGCTCCTTGGACGGGATTGGTCTTTTTATAACGTGTCACCGTCTTGGTCCTGTTCAGACATATATAGCATGAAACTTCTAAGCGTAATGCATTCTTTTACTGATGTGGGTATCTCTATTGGTCTCCATCCAATGCTCATGAGCGTCGTCATATCTTCATCCGTCTCCAGGGCACGAATATATTTACACTGACGCGAGCCTTGACCCAGCGTCGGGTCAATGATGCTGTCTACGCATCGGGTTCGCTCGCCTCCTGCACCAAGGACTTGTATCTGCCCCTCCCAGAGTCGGTGGACAGTCTAGACAAGCACTCCTCCCGCAGCCGCTTCTTGTCGAACGGCAGCGTCTGCAGCTTGATGGCTTCCAAGATGTAAGTCACCACCGTCATCGTTTGGAGCGGTGGTTCGCGGAGAATCTTGGCGATGGCCTCTGGATCCAGGTCCTCATTGTCCCTCCAGATGAAGTATGATCGCACCGCGGGCCCCGTGGCGCGGAACGGTCCTGAAGAGGCCTTATAGCTTGCCATACGTTCCTCCGCAGCGGCGACTCGAGGATCCTTTTGCTGTGTCCGCTTCGGGGTGACTGCAGGTGCCTTTTGGATGCTCTCGGCGATTGATTCACCTTCGACTTCAGTTAGGAAGAATACGCTCCCGTCCGTCTTCTTCTCAGCACCATCGATATCGTCGGCTGCGACAGCTGCTCCATCTGCGAGTCGGATGGGCAGAACAAGCTCGGCGAAGTGTGGCCTCGGGGGCGTCGGATCAAGGCTGACCCTTTTCCTTTCCAGTTCATGGTAGAGCTGGAAGCCAGCATACGCATCTGTGGCCGAATCTAGTGAACGTGAGAAAGTTGGCTTTACGATTCGCAGAGTAGGAACTTACAAACGAGTTGCTCTGGCTTCAGAACCCTGGACCAGTCGCTCGAACGGACGTCTTGCCCCTTGAACATTGGCAGGCCGAGGTGTTCTTTGACCTGCACGGCGAGCGGCACCAGCCTCTTGTTGATGAGGTCGTACTGGCCCTCTTTGGAGTACTTCACGAGCTTGTGGAGGTGGCTGAGCTCGAAAATACCCCTGGTAGGAACTCCCAGATGCGTGTTTAGCCGAGTACAATCTCCTTTGATAGCCACGCCTGTCTTCGCTACACTAGGGTCTCCCATGATCTTGATAAAGGTTGGCGATACGAGGTCGTCCTGGGCTGGAAACAATGCAACGTGAAACAAGGCGATCCGACTTTCGTTGGCAAGCTGGATCAAAGACACATTCTGCCTCGGGCCTGATTTCCTGGTCGCCCTTGGATACCACTCAAGGTCGAAGCCAAGAACCTTGTCCTCCAAGAAGTACTGGCAAACTCGCTCCATCGTGTGCTTGCTCTTGCAGTAGTGCACCTTCACCTTCTTCTCACCCTCCTCGTCGGAGGGCCCCCGATAGAGCGTGTAAGTGTAGAACGACTCCGGCGAGCCTTCGGGTGCTTTCTGAGCCTTGACGAATGCATCTTCGGGTATTTTAAACTTCAAATTTGTCAGAACGCGGCCTTCGGGATCGTCGGTGCTGTCGGATAGTGTAGTGGAAGCCGCATCAGACTCAGGCTGGAACTCGGGCGCCGTTGAAAATGGCACATCATCGTCGCCGGATGTTATTGACTCGCTGCTGTCTTCGGAGAGAATGTACTCGCTCTCATTGCTTTCCGCCGCGGCGCTTTGCGAAGAGTTTGCGGAGGTCGTGTGCAAGGAGCGAAGCATGTCGACTCGCGGATGCGCTTCTTCTTCCGGTCTTGCTGGCGTGAAGTTGATGCCATGGCCGGGGTGCCAAAGCCGGCCGTACGACGAAGGATACATGATCGAGTTTGGGCGGCTGCAGCTAGTGTCAGTGTGCCGGTCTTGCGTGGTGCTGTGGGGTTGACATACGCGACAGAACCATTCTGCGACCGGAGAGACGTTGTAAAAGAATGAAACCTATGGCCAGATGGTCTAGATATACTTCTCAATCCTGCCGGACAACGCATCCGGAACAACGGTGATGCGCCATGGTTGCCAACGGGCATGGCGCGGCTAATCAGGAATCCGGGTCCGCAGGCAGACGCGTTGTGGTGGGTGATGGAGGGGTTCAATTATCTTCTGATTCACGCCCGACGCTGAATGGCCGCTGGAGCTTCTCGCGTGGCCCGGCTTAGTCACACTCGCGGTCAAACACAAAGTCACATGATGCGGATAGGCTCACGCCCAAGCTTTGCAGCACACGCCTCCGGGTCACCACGATCATCTCAAGCTTCGACGATCCGGCGGTTGACAAGAACCCCAATATCTAGACGAATATCAACCCATTACACGGCCATAATCCCTGCCAAACCTGGGCAACTTATTGAACGAGCTATATCATCACGAGGTCATCACCACGGGTAACCACAGGGCGTAAAAATGGCGTCTCAACTCCTCCCTCTTGGTGGGTTCGACGGGTCCAAAACTACGACAGCCGGAAGCTGATGCGGGCAGAACTCATCGACAAGTGTGTCGGATCAAGAATCTGGGTGGTTATGAAGGGAGACAAGGGTACGGAGTCTCTGACGTCCCTCGCCTCACAGGATGCTCACGAACATGACAGAATTCAGTGGTACCCTGCTCGGTTTCGATGACTACGTCAGTAAGTAAATACTGTCATCCGACTCTACTTTGACCTGCGATACTGACGAGTCTTTAGACATGGTTCTGGAAGATGTCACTGAGTTGTTCGTAAACCATTTCAACAAAAAGAGCGGTGGACCATGCTAACCCCATGCCAGCGACTACTCCGGAAACCACACTAAGCTACCCAAGATTCTCCTGAACGGCAACAACATCTGCATGGTATGCTCTCATCTGCTTATTCTAGGACATGTGCCATTTCTGACTCTATTCACAGCTCATTCCTGGTGGAGAGGGTCCCGTGAAAGCGTAAAGGCAAAGCGACGGAGGGATTAGTACGAATACGAGCCCCCGGCTCTTGAAAAAGTGCAGGAAGACTGCAGCGATGGTCACGGTTGGGCAAGAATCTGTGTCGGATCTACCAGCCGCAAGGACCGAGCAGGGAAAGTCATGACTTTGGTTGACTTGACGGAGTTAAGGGCTGCATGTCAAAACTGAAGGAATGACACCGTAGGCATACACCAAACGAACTTCACGAGAGGGAATCTCGCGTAGTTAACGACGTAATTCGCAATGACCAAACTTTTTCTCGTATCGAGAGCCTGTCCTTGGCGAAAACTAAAACCAGCACACGTGTGGTATCAGAGCCCCCAATTTCCATTCTTTATGACCAAGTCCGCCCGAGAACGCCCAGAGAAGATGTAATGCTATTTTCACACAAAAGTTGCCTTACTGCCCCTGCGCTGCAGACCGTCCAGCCTCGACCATACGACGCAGCTCGAACTCTCGTGTGAATTCGCGACTGAGGTGTGAAAAGTCCTGCATGAGACGTTTGATGACTTGAACTAGCGCCTCCTTGGGGGGGATCGAGCCGTCTGTTTGGACGCGGATAAAGAGCTCGGGCACGTTAGGATGAGAGACTGGCGGCGAGATTAGCATGGGTGCTCCCAAGACGGCGGTAGCAGGAGTAGAGGCTTACTCTTGTAGCCGGCCATGAGGACGTTCTTGTGCTGCTTGAGGTGCTCAGAGAGGAGGTTTCCGAGAGTGTGGTCTTCCTTCTTCAGGATGAAGTCGGAGGTGTTGGACATTCCTGAGGATTGTGAGCCCGAGTAAAAGCAAAGGAAGCAGTGAATAGCCGCATACCGGAGAAGACCTTTTCCTCGATCTTCTTCTCGCCATCGGCAAGGAGGAAGAGCTCGAAACTGTCGCGTTATTAGCTTTTCGTATCCTTTATCACTTACAAAATGAGAGGCATATTGAGATGAAGGGGCGGATTGATGGCCAGCTCAGTATCATTCGAGCTCAATGACAAGATGGTGGCCTAGCATGGAAATGGTGGCCGTGGAATCGGGGCGGATGCTTGTAGGCATGTGCGTCGGAAAAGAACAAGGTGAAAAGAGCGTTGCATCAGCCACATCAGAGAACGCGGGAAAGCCATTGAGTATGAGCACAGTAAGCTCATAAAGACATCGCAATGTGATAATCCAGCAGCCCTCGGACCTCGATTCAACATTCAAAAGCCTTTAACAACACCAAACGACATCGAAAGACGTCCAACTCATCACTCACCGATCGGGGGCGTTCATCTTGGCGAGATGCTAGTTTCAAAGACGGTAGTGCTGGATTTGGGCAGGCAAGACTCGAGCCGAGGCGTGTGGCGGTCAGAAAAACTCGAAGTTGGAGGACCTTAACGAGTCTGTGGATTGGGTCAGATTCTGATTCGTGATGTGGGAATATTCGAATCTTACTCGACTTGTTCACAAGGATGATGTTCTTTGAAATCGACCTGGATGGATGAGATGCTGCTGGAAGGAAGTGATCACCTACGGTTGGCCGCGGCTGCTGCCGTCTTGAGTGCCTGCCTCCCAGAAGCAAAAAGTGGACCGCTGATAATGACTGCGCCACAGGCAAATATGTGGCGGTGTGCCAGCTCAGATGAACAACCAAACATGAACCTTCCAATGTGAAGAGTCTAACGAAGCACCTAAATTTCAGACAATAGAAAACGTTTGCTCGATTCTTAACTCTGCTAAGGCGTACAGATACATAACTATGAACATGGCGACGAGCCCTCTGATCTCGGAACAGTCTATTTACGGAGTCCATACTCAATACCAACCAACCAAATGCTGCCTAAGCTCTCCTAAACGAACCCGCTGGAAACCATGCAATGACTACCCAACGCTTTTGAGACAGCAGTTCATGATAAAAAAATGCGGTAGCATATCCATCTTCTAACCGCCTAATCTCCACAACCCTCTCGTGGTCGATCTACCTTCTGTCGCAGTATCCGGGATTGCCAGGGTCGGAATCGCCGTTGGCCCAGCTGTAAACGGTGATAGCGGTAGTATAAGCCATGGCCACGACACCGAAGATGCAGAGACAGATGTCGGAAATCTTCCACCATCTATTTCTAGCAACTGCCTTGTAGTGCAGCAAAGGCTGTACAGAGTTAGATTGGAATCACATGAACGATGACTGGGGTCAAGACTTACTGGGTAGATGTAAACAAGCGGGATACAAGCAAAGTTGCCAACAAGAGCAACAAATTTGTCCAAGTCATCCGCACCACCCCACGCAATGAAAGCGCACAGGAAGACAAAGAAGAAACGGTACAGGTTCTTCTGCCACTTGATGTACGGGTTGTACTTGCCGCTCTTGGTGAAAAGAGCGTTCTCGGTGATCTTGATGGCAGGGAACAGCTGCAAGGGGATGGACAGCATGATGGCAACAGAGTACAGGAATTGAACACTGTTGACGAGCTTGCTGTCCTGGGGCAAGTTCAGGAGAACGACCGTCTCCGTCTTGGATCCGTACGCGGCGTAGGAAATTGCACCCATACCGATGAAGAGAACAGAAATGATGATCATGACCGCGAACATGACGCGAGGGAACTTGCTGGGGTTCTTCATCGACTCCTGAATGGGGATGATAAGACCGATTCCTTCGAATGTGAAAATGGCGGTGCCGATGAACAAAGTCCAGTCGTTGCGGTTGAACATGATGATGTCCGCCAGTCCCTTCGTGCTCAGGGTGAAGATGTCGTAGTACAGAAGATAGGCCAGGCCAAGTAGGATGAATGCGTCCGCAATCAAGGCAGTGAAACTCAGCTTTTCGATGTCTCGAAGCAGCGAGAAGGGCAGGAACACGAGCACCTGCAGCAGGATCAACCACTTGACGCCGACGTTGGTCTTACAGTCAGAGACTGCCAAGAGGAAGGCTTGTAGATTTTCTGACGTGAAAACCATGTATGCGGCCACAAATCCAATCTGACTGATGACAATGGAAAAGAGGATGATACCCCTCATCCACTTGCCGTACAGAATGCCTCCCAAGTCACCGAAAGAACCTTCTACCTTGAGACGGGTAGTAACCAGCAGAACGAAACAGTAGTAGCTCAGCGCAGCAACACCTAGCAACACGAGGTTGCTGAAGTGCATGCCACCGTTCAGGTAGGCTCTTGGCAAGAAGAGCACACCAGTTCCCACGAAGGACTTCAGCAAGAGCAGCGCGGCGCTCATCGGGCTATTCTTGCCACTGCCTCCACGCTGCCTTCTTCTCCTCTTATGGCGCGACGGCGTCAGAAGCGCACTGTCTTCCATCGGTTCCCGATCGTCATCGCTGCCTTCGTCACTGTCGTAGAGATCGTCCTCTCCACCGGAGGAAAAGTATTCGCCTGGCTTCAGAGCCTCGTCATCTTCCTCAAGCTCCTCGCCAGCAAAGTGACCGTAGATAGTAAGGAACTCGAGGAAGCTCGAAGTGAGTAAACGAGGCTGAGCACCGCCATTGCTGGGCTCGCCGCGCTCGCCGCCGTCTCGAATCGTGGAGGGACTTCTGGCCGCCCGGCGCAGATAGTTGCGGCGGAAACCACCCGGAACCTTTATAGCATTAATGTCAAGAATGTCCGTCTCGGGGTCTGGCCTGGAGACGCTAAAGCTCTTGCTGCGCTGCACCTTGCCTCGAGCTTCCGCATCTTCGGTCCACTTGTAAATGCCTCGCGTTACATCTCCGCCTTGCAGCTGCAAACTCGAGAATTCGTCCTCGTTCAGTCCAGTCTCGTTGTCATCCGCTGTCTGCTTGCCTTTGACGCCATCTCGCATGCTCGACTCCTCTGACGGGGCGTCCGAGGGTTGAACCAGGTGCCTCTTGACGACCTCGGGGTCTTCGTAGGCACCAGTGGCGGCACCTCGCGAGCGGGAGTCAAACGAGCCGTAGTTCGTCATGGGAGTGCTTGATAGCTGGGCACCAGCAGCGGCAGGAGAGAGAGGTCTGGGAGGAGGAGTACCAGAGCGTACTGGTGGTGTGCCGTGTCTTGGAGGAGAGGTTCCTAGAGAGTTGGAAAGCGCTGCAGCGAGAGCTGAGACGCCAGGACCTTGGACGCTCGAACCGGCAGCTCCAGCCAACGGGGTGAGGCTACCCGTGTCACCGTTCTCGCCTCCTCTGTTGGCCTGGCCGGGGATGCGATTTGTTTGGGGAGTGCCATACTGAGCCGAAGGCACGGGCGACGCCAGACGAGCGGTGGCATCTGCTCGAGGAAGAGAAGCGCCATACTGGCGGGACGGTGAGTCGGCCCTTGGGATGGAGAAAGGGTCTCTCGAAGGAGACGCCATTTTGCTGTTTGATGAGGCCGTTCGGGGGTTATCGAATGCTGGTATTGGCTATATCGGTAGCACCCAAGCAAGGCCGTCGCAGACTCGGATCTGGGTCAACACACAGACAAAGTTAGCAACAAGGCGTCATGGGAGAGGAAAGTTGAGACGGAGGGAAGGCAGGTACAGAAGCTAGAGGAGGTCGAGGAGGTGGAGCAGTTGAAGTACGGGAAGGAGTTTACCTGGGCGCAGTTGTAAGACAGCTGACGAGATCAATTGAAGCGCACGGCTAGGAGGATGTGCGGTCGAAGCTGTTGCTGCTAGGTAGGAACCCGTGATAAGGACCCGCGGCTTCCCATGCGGGTCGGGTGACCTAATCTGGCAGGTCTGGAGGTTGTGGCTCACGCCTCGCAGTCGCGCCGATAGCGTCGGATACGGGGGTCCAGTGCTGTACCTTAACTTGCCAGGTGCCTATGATAGCGGTGTCAGCGGCTCTGTCCCACGTAAGTGCCCTGTGCTGTGGGAGGTGCTTCGTTGTCTTGCCGAAACCCGGGGGCAAGCCAGGGGCTAGGTCTCTCTCGGGGTGTTTTTCCCACCGAGACGAGGGCACTGAACCTGTGCTATCCGCACCTGAGCAGGCACCCGGGTCGTATCGGTACGTCAATCTTGTCGCCTGGGACGGGACCTGCAACGCAACAGAGAGCACCAGCCACCAACACACATACCTTACCTGCCTCCATCACTCAGGCGACGGACGGGTTTGGCTCCCATGATTCAGCATGTTGCTGACTGGGTCGGTATCCGTAGTCGTCGAGGACATGTGTCTTGTTTTGTGTGAAGTCGGACGGACATCCTCCGCCCCGGTCATGTTAAAGCCTTACGAAATCTTTTCATGGGAAAGGTGAACTTCGTGGCGGACCGGCGTCTCTGATGCCTCTTGGGCAAGCCGAGGACGGGACTGGGAAACCAGGGCTGCTCAGCTGCTAAAAACATCAGGTGCAGCTTTGCCAGGCGACCTTATCTGCTCTATCGGGACCGACTTATCTTGCCTTGGCTTAGGTAATTGGCCAACTGAGTAAGCGAGACCCCATGATTGGCTCGCCGCCTCCATTAACTGAGCTGCACGAGCACCACCCAAAGTGAGAAAGAAGAACAGAGTGGGGGTTCGTTCATTCCTGGCCCTGAGACCGGGCGCTGCTGAATGATGGTCGTGACCTTGAAGACAAGACTGTCGAGCCCCGCGACAACGGCCCAGCATCCCCAGCTTCGGCGGCTCTTTGCAATTGTGCGGCGGATGTAGCGGTACTTTGGGTTTTTGGCACCCCGTGCACCCTTCACCTCTGACATTGAAACCCCATCGAGTCAGGGAACTACCGCAGAAGCACACACGGCCACACTGAAAGCTGGTCAAACCCCATGCACACGCTGCCCTACCTTACCTACCCATGCAGATAAGCCACTACACTACGGATACACGCCGCCCATCTTGTGTGGTGACAGTGGTCCATCTCACTGAATTCTCCGGTTTGCCGCTGTCATGCGCGTGAGTCAACCGACAGGCCGCCATTGCTATTTTGGAGCACCAACCTGGCGGTCATGCTAGCATCAGATGGAATGTCGAGCCAGATGCCGGACGACGGAGGCCAACACGAACGACGGCCGCGGAGACTAGCAAGGCACGGAGGCAGACGCGCGGTTTGCGGGAACGACAGGACGGCATGGCATGGCATGGCATGGCATGGGCGGTGGTTTATTTGACGGAACGCTGGTGCTGCGGAAAGAGGCACAGCATCTTCGGACAAACCGGCGGAAACACGCCTCACCACACCATCACGCAGCTCGCAACCCTGAAGCACTTTACCTGATATTGGACGGCCACAGCGAATTCGGACACCTCGCATCTCGATTCTGGTGTCAGTTCGTCCCTCAAGCGCCGCAAGCACGCTGTTCCCCCCACCACCACACCGCCGTAAAGCGATGCTTTTCCGGCCCGATCTGGACTCCGCTGCCAGATGACGTCGTTTGTCTCCCACTTTCGGGCTCATCTTCTGCGTGTTCTGCACCGGCTGCATGCCATTCGTCTTGGGAGTGTGTGTGGATCTCCAACAGCAGGGCGCGACAGGCCGGAGGGATTGGAGCACAATCGCAATTCCCAATCGGCACGCGGGGTATTGGAGAGGCTTGCATTGGATCGACCCAGATATCCCTTGCACGCAGAACGGTGAACCCTGAAAACGAGACGACAAGCAGTACGCGAGACATGCGCCGGGCCAGTTGGATGCCTGTGCGGCCCGCCGGTCTTTGCTAGGGAATTCTATTACTGGTCGTAATATCCAGACCGTCGCCAGCCATCGCTCAACCACACTGCACTTTGTGGACGCTCTGAGCGAGGACAGGACACTGGGCAGCAGCACAATGTTGTTGGCGTGACTTATGGGCGGGGACTTATAACTATAACAAGACCACATCCGCCTGCCTGCCGCGTGCTACTACTTTCGATCGAATCTCCGTCTTCATCGATCTCGCATTCATCGAAACGTCTTGCTCCCCAACCCCGTTTGGGCGTGGAGAAAGAGAAAGTGCGGAGGTGGCGTTCGCGTTCTCCTTTTCGAGCCCAGCTTCGGTTCATGTATCCCACCGACCAAACGCACTCACCTCTCCTTTTCAACCAGTATCCTCCGCCATGGGAGGTGACAGACGACCGAGCCTCTCCAGCATGGAGCAAGCCAGCAAGAGCCCCAAGCTGGGCGTAGTTTCCGGCGTCTACATCCCCGTCTGTCTCAACATTTTCAGCATCCTGATGTTTCTGAGATTTGGATGGATCCTTGGCCAAGTAGGGCTTTTGGGCATGCTTGGTTCGTCGGCACCAGCACGGGCGCCCTCATTTACATTAGCGCAGACTAACACCATCCGTAGGATTGCTGGTCACCGCCTATATGGTGGACTTTCTGACAACACTGTCCCTCTCTGCGATAGCTTCAAATGGCGAGGTGAAGGGTGGAGGTGCCTACTACGTGATCTCGAGGTCTCTTGGTCCCGAGTTCGGCGGTTCCATTGGCGTGTTGTTCTATCTTGCCCAAGTCTTCAACACCGCCCTCAATGTCGTTGGTCTAATTGACTGCATCAAATTGAACGCGGGAGATTTGTTCCCCCAAGGTTTTTGGGCAACATACTTGCTCCAGACACTGGCACTTCTGCTGTGTGCTGCGCTGGGCCTGGCTGGAAGTGGCATTTTTGCTAAGGCCAGCAATGCACTTCTAGTCATTCTGTCTCTTGCCATCATAAGCATCCCGATATCTGCCATGTTCAAGGCTCCTTTCAGAGATGACGATCTGGGAGTCCGGTTCACTGGGTTCAGCCTCGAGACATTGGTGGACAATTTTGCCCCTCACACAAAGAGCGACTCCTATAATGGCCTCGAGACGTTCCGGGAGCTCTTTGCCATTCTGTTCCCAGCGACTTCCGGGATCTTTGCGGGAGCTTCAATGTCTGGAGATCTGCAAAATCCCAGCAAAGACATTCCCAAAGGAACACTCTGGGCAATGATGACTACGTTCATTGCGTATTTGGTCGTAGTTTTTTCCATGGCTGCCACCACGACGCATAACTCGTTTCTTAACAACACCAACATCATCTCTGTTACCAGCCTGTCGATGCCCTTGATTCTTGCAGGAGAGTGCGCCGTCACCTTCTTCTCCGCTGTCATGGGACTTGTAGGTGCGGCGAAGCTGATGCAGGCTTTGGCGAGGGATAAGCTGTTACCGGGTTTAATACCGTTTAGCCAAGGGACGAAGAAGGCCGATGAACCGATCTACGCGATTCTCTTGACGTACGGTCTTGCTCAGGTTTCCATGCTCGCCAACCTCAACCAGATTGCGACTCTTATTTCTATGGGTTATCAGGCGAGTGCTACACCCCGCCTCTCACTGGTCCATAGCTAATGCACAGCAGATGACCTTTCTCGTCATGAATCTAGCTTGCTTCTTGCTCCGCATTGGATCAGCACCTAACTTCAGGCCCGCCTTCAAGTTCTTCAGCTGGCAGGCAGCGTTTGCTGGTACTATAATGTCTGCGGCAGCCATGTTCTTCATCGACCAGACTTACGCTGCCACTGCCATATGTCTTCTTGTTTTCCTCTTCTCGCTGATCCACTACCTCAGTCCACCGAAGAGATGGGGAGACGTATCGCAAAACCTGATTTATCACCAGGTCAGGAAGTATCTTCTACGCCTACGACCGGAGCATATCAAATTTTGGCGTCCGCAAATCATCCTGCTCATCAACAACCCCAGAAGTCAAACCAGGCTCATCCAGTTCTGCAACTCTTTGAAGAAAGGGGGGTTGTATATCCTTGGTCACGTCATTGTCACAGATGACTTCAGCAGTGGTGTCCACGAAGCAAGACTACAGCAGGCAGCGTGGACGAAGTACATCTCGGAGTTCTCGCGGATCAAGGCGTTCGTACAGTTGACCATGTCTCCGACGCTCAATTGGGGCATCCGAAACTTGATCTTGTCAGCCGGGCTAGGAGGCATGCGTCCTAACATTGCAGTCATGGGTTTCTACAACATGGATGAACTCAGAAGCTCCCGTCCGTCGGTAGCAGTGCCGAAAGCTCCAAGCTCGACCGTCGAGGATACACGACCAAGACCACGACCCGCAGAGAGGCCAGTACGAAGGAGACGTGGGGATACCTCGGCGCGACTATTAGAGGGTCATCTTCCGACGGACGTGATCAAAACCGAATCCATGCTGAGTGTTACCAGCTATATGACAATGCTGGAAGACCTTGCCTTGAGATATAAGCTCAATGTCGCTATCGGAAAGGGTTTCGAAAGGCTAGAGACACCGCGCAAGGACAAGGGCAATACGAAGAGATATCTTGATCTCTGGCCTATTCAAATGTCCGCAGAGGTTGTGTCGGACGGGAAAAGCGTTTTGACCACCAACTTTGATACATGTACGACAATTGCCCTCATCTCTGGTAAATAGGCTAACACGTCGCAGACACCTTGATCCTCCAACTCGGTTATATCCTTCACAGCGTGCCTACTTGGAACAAAGTGTATGATGTCCGCATCATGGTATTTGTCGAATATGAGAGCGAAGTGGAAGAAGAGAGAGCACGAGTCAAGGCTCTCCTGGAGAAGCTGAGAATTGAGGCTGAGGTCAAGGTATTCTGGCTGGCATCTGGTCAGCTGAACACCTACGAACTCATCATCAATGGCCAATCTAGCGATCTTGAGTCTCAGATTCTAGTTCACGACGTCCTCAGGGATGAGGAATGGTGGGACGATTTGCAGAGGCTGCGAGGACGTGCCCCGAATTTCGACTCGACCGACGAACTAACATCTTTCGCGAATATCATCGAGTCGACAGCAGGGCGTCCTGGCGTGTTCAATCCGCATATTCCACTAGAGGACATCGAAAGTGGGCGTCGGCCTAGTATGGTACATTTCGGCGAAATACCGAAAAGACCTACGGTAGCGAAGCTTTCCCGGCTTGGCGTCAGCGTTGGAATTCACACGTCTCACCTGGGAGATGAGGTCTTTGAGGATGATTCCAACTCGGACGGCGAGCTCAGCGAGCAGGAACAGCAGCCCTCTTGCCTGGACTCTGACTCTGAGTTCGAACGTGGAGGGAGCGAGTACAGTGAGGATGAAGCAGATGATACGGAGACGCCAACAAGACCCTTACTGCTTGGCAAGGGGCGTGGACGAAGCCAGAGCGATGACCTCCTCACCACTCCATCCAAACATAGGCGAGGTAACAGCAAGTCCAGCAAAAGTGCCGTACCAAGCTCGACCTATGGCACCATGGTTGCACAAGCTCGGGTCGAAGGTCAATCAGGTCCAAGCCACACGGCCGGTGACAACGTGTCGGCCCCTCCAACTCCGCTTGAACGACCCGGTTTGGATCGCAACGTGACTGCTCGATCGCTGGGTGGATTCCGGGTGTCAAGCGGCAATCCGTACCCTGAATTGCCGCCGGTGAGCGTTTCTGGTACGGCAACCCCGGCCAGACCAACACTGTCCAGGCAATCCTCCGCCGTGCGATTCTCGAGCCGACCGGTGCCCGAGACGCGAATTGATGTCGAGGGCACGTCCGGGCCAACGATTATGTTTGCGGACACAACGGAAGAAGAGACGCCGCGAGCGGAAAGGCCCGCATTTTCGAGGCAATCCTCCACGGGCCGGTTCTCCAGCCGCCCTGTGCCTGAAATGAGGGTGACGACGGCTGAAGAGTTTGATCCTCCTACTGCGTTTGCGGAACCGAGATCTCGCAAAGATTCCGCCGCATCCTCCGAGCATGGAGACGCCCATATGAACATGGCGGAGCTCGTGGAGCGCTACAGGTTAGACTCCAGGCTAGAAGGCGAAGGCGACGGCTCGCCGTACTCCACACAAGGCATCGCGCTTTCGTTCAATGACCTGCCATCCCGAGCACAGCATGTCATCCTCAACGAGCTTATGCGGCAGAACAGCAGGGATACAGCTGTGTTACTCTCGACGCTACCAGTGCCCACCGAGGGAACCTGCCAGGATGAGGTCGCGAGCGTGCAGTACCTCTCGGATGTCGAGGTCCTGTGCCACGGGCTCCCTCCGGTCCTCCTGGTCCTGAGTAATAATATGACTGTTACAGTTGGGCTATAGTAATGACGGCGGGGAAGATTGTCTCACATCCTGCGAGGGATAACATCGATAAGATCAGACTACACGCGGGGGCCGGTTCATAGTTTGGCGTTATTTTTTTTTTTTTTTTGGATTGTCGGGTTAGGCCTGGGATCATCATCCGGACAAAGGAATGGGGTGGTAAACTCTGCTGGAGTCGCCACATTCCTAGATGTCTTTGGCTGAAATGAGAAGCCATTCGGCCATGCATTCTTTGTCTGCAGCACTCGACGGAACCATGATGGCTTTTTCTCTCCAGACTTTACAAAGAAGTTGCCCTCGACGGTGCATACGCAGCTGAACTTTCACTCTCCTGGTCCTCTCTTTCCCTGCAGCCCTGCGAGAAGGCCTTTGATGCCATGGACTTTAAACACGCGGCCCCGCCGTCGGCGCTGCCTTCCACGTCTTGGACAATCCCGCAAACAGTCAACATGAAGGACCACGCAAGGCACGGAAGAAAATCGAACTGGACGGCGCAGCTGTCGCCGTACCTGAAAACCCTCAAAATCAAGAGCTTCATGCAGTCACCAAAATCACCGAAGTCTCCAAAATCCCCGGACAGCTCAACATCACCACGCTCTCCTAGGAGGCAGGACAGCATGGATGAATCTTCATTCCAGATCATCCATACACCGGACCGGCCAGAGAGGCCTGTTTCCAGGACAGCGATTCCAAATGATGAGCAGTGCATGCAGTTTCTCATGTCATTGCAGAGGCAGGAGGAGCACAAGAGAGGCGGGGTCAAGCATGGCCTCAAGATGTGGCCATACCCGGATGAAGTGGAGGAGACCAGGCGTCTACGGAGTGTGAGGGTCGAGAGCGTGCACCTTGAGGAGGCAAGACTTGCCAGGACGAATTCGTCTGGTCCGGCAAAAGTGGTTGAGGTTGGGAGGAGCTCTACGAAGTCCACAACAGCGACAAGGCGGTCGGGACACTTGCCTTCGCCGAGTGTGAGCGATGACGAAGAGGCCGATGTACATGAAGTCGAAGAGGGTGAGGACGTCGAGCCAGAGCCGAAGATGACCGTCCGCATGGTACCGCTATCTCCTCCACCTACCCTTTCCAGGAGTCAATCTCGCCTGGGTCAGTACACTCCACGAGCACAAACCTCTCGATGGTCCGACGACAGCGAGTCCCTCTTCTCCTCCAGAGACGTTGACTCGCCTTGCCCTGCACGGGGAACCTTTCGCTCATCCGCAGAGGTGTCGTCTCCAACAATGGTCGACGACGACTCAGCCGGCCCCTCTAGCCCGTCTTCTCCACCGCTCTTGACCCCGGTGAAGGACCGTCCCGCAACTCCGTTCACAGATCCCCGGCTGCGGTCTGTGTCTGACCCGACCACCCCTCCGCCGTCGGATCACATTGTTCATCAAATGAGCCCGGAGTCCTTGCCCCGGAAATACTCCTGGCGGTCGTCCAAGGAGACAATCCTCAACACCGGGGCGCCAGTGTCGAGGTTTCAATCGTGGCTGCCGGAGCCGCGGCCAAAGAGTTCAATGAGAGAAGTCGAGTCAGCTCAGGAGCAGAAGTTTGAGATTGAGATCTACGGTGACTGGGCCGATTACTACTTTGAAGACGGAAACTTTTGGGACGAGGTCGACTCTGATGCTGACGGCAATGGTGACGAAGAAGCCGACGACGAGGAAAAGCATCATAGCGGTGATGTGGACCCTGGAGATGACGAAGCTGAAGAAGCCGAGGAAAAGGTAGATGGTGAAGGAGAAGATGATGAAGAGGAGGAAGAGGAAGATGAACATAAGACAAACCACCTTGAGGTCGACGACGAGAAGGTCTACCCAAGGTACGAGAGCTTCATCAAGGACTACAAGAACAACGTTATGAATATCACGGTCACGGAGGTATGATTTGTTTGCTGGGCTTGGGTTCATGGTGTCTGACAACTTTTTCTACTTGTTATTTTTTTTCGGAGTTCGTGGTGGGATGATATCCCATCGATTTTCCTTATCAGGTTCTGAGACCTTGTAACAACACTGTACACCATCCATTGTCTTTTAGATTGCGATTACCCATCTTGCTTCCTCTTCGCTGGAATACAACATTACTACCGTTCTCAACCATCAAAAACTCCCCTTAGAACAATGAGTGAGTGGGCTCATCGCCCAATAGCGCACTACCCCTCGGCGATGCCTTCGTCTGGCCGAGAACGCGACGATGCCGCCAAGTCCGAACTCTTGAGATCCTCCGAGGCACATCATCGGTAAGTTCATCCTACGACTGCCACATGAAACAACCCATCACTTTAGAGTTGGACGTATCATGACATCCGAATGACTCCCATCTCATCCGACGCAGGCGTGTAAGTCAGTTGGTGTGGTGTCTCAGGTGGCCCAAGCTCCAATGAAGCATGCGCTGCTGCGACAGCGACAGCTCCTCCAGCGGGGGAAAAATTCAAAGCTTCCCACCTCAGCAACATTTGCCAGATATTCCCACCACCACTTCGTCCTCCCCCAAGCAAACAGACTTTTCATCCCATTCATCAAGGCCGACGTCAGCTTACTACGTACAAGCCACAAGTGACACCATGATCTACATGACTCACGCCAGAGTCTAACCCACCAAAACCACCACCACCGCTGCCGGCCGTCCAATGCCTCGTCTCCCGCCCTCACTCATACGCCAGGCGGGCGCCATATCCCCGCACGTCAGGACCTTGCTGCCGGCGTGCCGCGACATTGACTCGGCTGTCACGGAGCTGCGGTGGATCAGGGAGCACGTCCGCGATACTTCAAATTCCCGCGTGCCTTTTGGAGATGGGCTGCAGCAGCAGAGAGAAGAAGAGGTCGGCCGTCGTCGCGTGGCGAGGTTGTGCGCGAAACGAGGACGTGGGGTGCCGCTGCAGTACGTCCTCGGCTCGCAGCCCTTTGGCAGGCTGGACATTCGGTGTCGGCCGGGGGTCCTCGTCCCCCGCGCCGAGACGGAGGCGTATGTCATGCATCTCGACGAGATGATCCGCGGCGGGGACCTGCCGTTGAACCAGAGCGGTGATGTGAGAGTCGTTGACTTTTGCACGGGAACGGGTTGTATTGCTCTGGGGCTGTATGATGCCCTCTCGAAAACAGAGAGAATGGTGGACGTAATTGGTATTGATGTCTCGGAGGTCGCTGTCAACCTCTCCAGGGAGAATCTGAAGCGCAACGTCGACAGGGGCGTGTTAGTGCCACCTGCAGACCGGAAGAGTATCGCCTTTAGGCGGGAGGATGTCTTTGACGACGCCGCGATGCGGACGATTCCACCCTGCGACGTCTTGGTCTCGAACCCGCCGTATATATCGAGCAGCGTGTGGACGTACGGGCGGGGGCAGATGGGGTATTCGGTGCGCAAATACGAACCCAAGCTGGCGCTCGTGCCGGGGGCGGAGTTGCCGGTGTACGATGATTGTGATCACGCCGATGTCTTTTACGCGAGGTTATTTGATGTTGCAGATTGGTTGAAGCCAAAGATATTGCTGTTCGAAGTCGGCGATCTGGAGCAGGCTATCCGGGTCGTGAGGCTCGTCCGGCGGAAAGCTCATACTAGACTTGCAAAATGTGAGTTGTGGAGAGATTGGCCTGATTTATCGCCCGAACAGGATGAGGCGCCCGAGTTGGAGATGGATGGGGAGGTCATTTCAGTCAAAGGAAGTGGAAATGTACGATCTGTGTTTGTTCGTATTTAACTTATGATACCCAGACGTCACTGAGAGGCGTTTAGCAGCAGGTTGAATCGAAAGTAGATGTCATTTGTTGACGTTGAAGAACACAACTTTTATAAACGCTCGATTGGTCTTGTCACCATTCTCGTGATTAACTGGCGTTAGAGGGGGCGGCAAAACGAAAAACAGACCGAAAGGCTTGATCCAATCAATGCCAATAGAGCAAGAAGCAAAAGATTACTGCCCAGAGGCGGATTCGAACCGCCGTCAACACGGTATCGCTGAGTGATGGAGACCACAACGTATCATCCTAACCAACTAGACGATCTGGGCCAGTGCTAATTGATGGTTGCTAAGGCCAAAGCGGGATGTAACAAGCGTAGCAGGTAGTGCCCCACACTTTTGTGCGTATAAGTGAGCGACCCAGCGACTTTCGGCCTCAATTCAGTTTCTTGCGGGGCCCTGCAATTTTGATATTTCAAAACTGCAATTATTCCCGCCTTCTGTAACCCTCTTCTCTGAGTTTACATCGCCTGTAGCAAGGTTGGGCGGCTGCGATTGAGTTCAGGAACAGCGAGGGGCAAAAAGCCTGAATGAAGTCATTTCCCCATGGAATCAGGAACCACGATAGCGCATGTCTCGAGCGAATTGCACCGAGACAGGAGGGCTTGATCATCCCAGGACCCTTCGGCCCTTGCATCTCCTGGGGGGCACACGTTTGAAGGGAGAAAGGGCCCTGTGACGGCATCTGGTGATCCTCACGTCACCTGGGCGCGGGTGCCTTCACGCGGGAGAAGAAATTCTGCTTTCGCGGTGAAATGCACGACCCACACAATCGGATTTCCGTTGTGCACAGCAGGACGGTTGACATCCCTTGCATGTACGCCACGTACCGTCTGGATCATGAAGGGTTCGCCGAGTGGTGTGGGCTGGTGACGGGACGGTCAAGGGTTCAGGGGTCGTCTTGGCTTTTGGAATGTTTCGGTTGTTGATAAAGTTCCATTGACCGGCTTGCGCGGCACGGCTGGTTGGTGTTGATATGCATCATGGGATTCTTTAAATTTCTGCGCGCGGATATGCTGATTTGGAGTTTATCCTACATTGCCATGTTCTTGCATCCCCGACGCTCCTGGTCAATAGTCACCCAGGATCATTCCCTTAAGTCTAAATGCTGACGGTGACTTGTACAATTGCGTGTTAAATACACCATTATCGGTAGTTTGTATTTTGCGATCATTGGAGTTTGTCCAGATGGTGGTAATTGCAGTTGCTTCTATGATGCTGCGCAACGGACTGCCCGAATAGGCAGGCCTAAACTATCTGCTGGGGCCCCGGCATCGCACTTGGGGATGCGGGGCTCTACCTGGCCGTCTTAGGTTCGTGATGATAGTTTCCTATCTCTCGCTAGGTTGGTCATGAAGACAAGTTGAAGGCAGTGAAAAATGGCATCGAAGCAACACGCCATCAAGCCGTCTGCGCGGGCGCTCGCCAATCTTGAATCCGGGGCGTTCATCGATCTCGAAAATGAGGCGGGCAAACTCCCACAGTACGACCCCAAGATATGTCCTGACGGTCTTATCGACCTCTCTGGAGCCATCAACAGCCTCATGAATGATGTTTTGGAGGAGGAAATGACCAACTTTGAAAAGTCATATAGTCTCAGTGAAGGTATGCCATGTGATGCTTGAGTGCGCAACAGAGTTGACTCGGTTTTAGCTATGAAGTATGGAGACGTTATGGGGCCCAAAGGTGAGAAGCATTCCGTCAAATAGCTTCACTTCTAACATCTGCAGGCCTTTCTAAAGCCGTCAGTGATTTTATGAACCGTCACTTCAGCCCGGCTCGAGCTCTGAGCGCAGATGATATTATAGTCACCAATGGCGTCACTTCGCTCATCGACATGATGGTGTTTGCCATGTGCAATCCAGGGGAGGGAATAATGGTCATAACTCCGACTTACATGATGTTTCCTCATGATGTCTGCGCCAGGACAGGCGTCAATCTCATCAACGTCGATCTCGACACCATCGAAGACCAGTTCGAGGTCAAGGACTCTGCAAAAGTTATGAAGGCTCTGGGCAAAGCATACTCTGCTGCCCAGAAGAGTCGCGTTACTCCCAAAGCCCTCCTTTTGTGCAACCCAAGCAACCCGTGCGGACGGACGTATCCACGCGCCACCCTCATCGAGATCGCCAGATTTTGCGGCCAGCGGAAGATGCACCTGTTATCCGACGAGATTTACGCCTTGTCTACCTTCACTCCGTATGACCGGGCAGCTACACCCTTCACATCTGTGCTAAGCATCCCAGATGACCCCGAAAACGGGGTGTTTACCGAAAACATACACTGCATGTACGGCGCGAGCAAGGACTTTGGCTGCGGCGGGCTAAGACTCGGGTTTCTCGTCACCCGTAACGAACTCCTTTGGCGTTCTGTAAGACGGCTGGTGCTTTTCACGTGGGTGACGAGCTTTTCGGCCGCTTTTTTCATGCACTTTCTGCAGAATGAGGAGGCAGTCGACCGATATGTGTCCGTCTATCGCGAAAGGCTCGGGAAGCAGTACGACTTCACTGCCAAACTCCTCGACAAGTACAGAATTCCGTTCTGGGAGGCCGATAGTGGGGTCTTCATCTTTGTTAAGTTGACGAAATGGCTCGACTCCTTCGCAGGCGACGACCACAGTAGTCGAGAGATGAAACTTTGTCGGCACCTACTTCATGAGGCTGGCGTCTTTCTCAGCCCCGGAGAAGTGAGTTGTCCTGTTGCGTGAGATGAATACCGCTGACCTGTATGAAGATGTCTATGTCACCAGTGCCAGGATGCTTCAGGCTCGTATACACAGGCAATCCAGAAGCTGTCTCGCTTGCTGTGTCTCGACTCGCAGAGGCACTGCAAGATCTTGAAACCACGTCAAAGTTGACGGATTCTGACCATCGTCGGAAAGGTTGTCAAAGAACTTCCGCCATCCACTACGAGGCATCGCGGCGCAAGTCAATCATGCACTTCCTCCTCTGCGGGAAGTAACAGCAGAACCACCCACAAAGATGCCGGCTGATTATCCTAAGTCTATGCAACTTTATTTACTGTCTACTCATAATGGATCGGGAACTTCGGTTTATTTTCATCAGGAATGACGTTAGGTATAAGGCACGAGGACAGTGTTAGACATAACGACGATGATAATCACTAAATCAGGGTGCCAATGCGCCTAAAGGGGAAATAGTCGCTCAAGCACAAGAAACATAGGCATTCTTACTAAAACGTTGTTAGAAAAGGATCAACACGCACACAGTTCTTATTCACAGAGGAAGATGAAGTAAGAAAGCAAAAAGATGACCAGCCTGGGGGTCGAACCCAGAATCTCCTGATTGCACGACGGAATCGTAGTCAGACGCCTTGCCATTGGGCCAACCGGCCACTGTTGCAAAATTAAGTGTGAATTCGCGTTAGAAAGCTTGAGCAATGCGCCCGCCAAAATTTTCGCCCTCTGAGGTTTCCTCTTGCACGAAGTTTCGCAGAAATCAGACGCTTGGACTTCCATCTCTCACGTCACTCACTTCTCTCTTGTTCATTGATTTCTCGCCTTGACTTAGGTGGGGGTGATGTAGAGTCTCACAGAGTTACTCTCACCGTGTACATTTATGCACTAAAGCGAGGACCCAGAGGGTCACTCTATCTACCTCTTCAAACGAGCATGACCACTAACAACTTACATGAAAGGGCGCGCGTAAGAAAAAACTGCGAAAAGACTTTCATTTCTTTGAGTCATGAAAGATCGCTGGCCAGGAATTATTTCCCCCTCGTAATGGGCGTATTGCCGACCGCTAAAGATGTCATTTCCTGACAGACCTGTCGCCCACTTGCTGGGCTCGAATGGTGAGCCGCAAACCCGGGACACGACTTTGAGATGCGAATACCTTCGCACTCATATCTTTCAAGTCGCCAAGTGACTGACTCACAAAACCAAGGCCCCGTCCATGCTGTTACATACTCTTCGTCTCCCGGTACCTACATCCTCACCGGCTCCGCAGACCGCACCATCCGCCTGTACAACCCAGCAACCCAGGATGCCAACCCCCGCTACACCTCCAACCTCACCACCAGAACCACTCCTCGCGTGCCTGAGGGCCGCATGATCCAGAGCTATGCCTCACATGGCTACGAAGTACTTGACCTAGCCGTCGCGGCGGACAACGAGCGCTTCGCCTCCTGCGGCGGCGACCGCGCCGTCTTCCTGTGGGACGTCGCATCCGCCACAACCCTCCGCCGCTTCGGCGGCAACGTCCACGGCCATTCCTCGCGCATCAACTGCGTCGCGTTCGGCGGGGACGGGGACTCGCTTGTCATCTCGGCGGGCTTCGACACCAGCGTGCGGGTCTGGGACTGCAAATCCAACTCTGCGAAGCCGGTGCAGGTGATGGACGAGGCCAAGGACTCCGTCACGGCGCTTGTCGTCAGAGACGCAGAGATTGTCGCGGGCAGCGTTGACGGGCGGGTTAGGAGCTACGACGTGAGGATGGGGAAGTGCATTACTGATACTATGGGGGCGAGTGTCACGAGTTTGAAGCTCACGCGCGATGGCAAGGCGATGCTGGTGGGCTCGCTCGATAGCAAGATCCGGTTGATGGATCGGGACAGCGGTAGCTGCTTGAAGACTTATGAGGATGCTGGATGGAAGAACGAAGAGCTGCGTGTGCAGAGTATCCTCGGAGGGAAGGAGAAGTATGTGATAGCTGGAGACGAGTTGACTGCCGGTACTGGGCCGGCAGGATTAAACGGGGAGGGCAAGATTTGGGCCTGGGATTTGTTGACCGGCAAGCTTGTCGCGACAGTCAAGGTCCCATGGCCCGAAGGCTATGAACCCAAAAAGAAAGTGCTTGGGAAGGACGGAAGGGAGAAGGAGAGGAGCAATGTCATTAGTTGCATGGCCTGGCGAGATGACGGATGGGGAGACCAGTTCTGTGTCGGCGGCACGTCTGGCGTCGCGACTGTTTTTGGCTCGTTATAAAGTTATAGATCATGGAAATGAGATGCTCTTTGTACAGGGCTTTTCATTTAGAAGCCCCAATTTCTAGCAAAAATGTCTCAAAATCATGCAAGGTCATGTCCGTCATTGACCCCGTGGTACTCTACACACGTATGGATGTTCCGCAGACGCCCAACACCGTCAGTAACCAGATGCTCCCTAGCAAATCCCCAATTGTTGCCAACCAAAAAAGTACAGAACAGGAAGCATGCCCATGCGAGGGCCAATTAGTCCATGCCGACGTACTTGAACCAGTTCGGACGGCAGTCGTCCTTGTGCAGCCAAGCCTCGCCGTCGGTGAACCGACCGGTGACGCAGCCCTTGCACTTGGGAGAGTTGGGGCAGTTAAAGAAGGGAATGTGCTGGTACCCAATGTCGCGGAACCTATTGCGGGTCAGTTGTGGTCGGTCGCATACATGTCGTTGCGTCACTTACCAGTGGATCTTGGACTTGTCCTCGAAAAGACCCAGGGCAATGCTGTGCACAGGAGCATCTCCCCATCGCTCGTAGAAGAAACCTCCGGCACGGTCCAGGTGGTTGAAATAGTCCTCGTAAGCCTGGCTGCGCCAAAAGTCGATGTCTGCAATCTCAAAGTTACTCCAGAAATGGCAGGTTGAGTAGCCGTTAGCGTCGATGTTGTTTTCGGGACGACCAGCCTTGTCGGTAAGCCAAGCCATGGCGTTGTTGTCGTGGATGTACTCGGGATGTTGCGCGAGGAACTTGACGGTCTCGGGCCACAACGTCGGGATGGACTTGGGGGCATCGTACAAGTTGATGGTGAAACCATAGGTCTTGTTGTTGTCTTGCATGTAACGGAAGACATCGTAGTCAACGTCGCAGAAGAAGTGAACCTTGGGCTCAACACGCCAGTAGTACTTGGTGTGCTGCAGAGCGGGATGTCTGTAGAACATGCCACTGTTCCAGCGGCACATGGAGTGGTACGAGACCTTATCGGCGTACTGAATGTCGTTCTCCTTGAGGATCTTAACAGACTCCTCGTAGAGATCCTTGTTGATCCATGACGGCATCTCCCAGTGTTCCTTGGGAATGAGCTCTGCGAAAAGCCGGTTAGAACAAGCACTGAACCATGGCGAACAGCAATAGCGTACCGTATCTGCATTCGGCCTTGGTGGCCGCCTGAGTCCTCCTCTTGAACTCATCCGTGAAGGGGACCTCGTTGAAGAAGGTCCAGGGGTAGTTGAACTTGTGGTTCCAGGTCCTCTCGAGGTCCACCATGGATCCGATCATCTGGTCCAGCTCCTCGTTCCTGACCAACGCCAGCAGGGTGGCGTTGATGCGCGCAGAGTCCGCAATGCCTGGGGCATACTTGTCGGAGGCATACGTTAGTACACCCGAGGGTTCGCCGGTAGCTGTTCGATGTCACAATGGTTAGCGCCGCCAATGAGCAACCAAGGGCAGTAGAGGCAGCTCACGATCTAGGTTGGGGTCTCGCCCGTTATCGTAGCGCACAGGCTTCGTTATCGGTCTCTCGGGACCAAAGATCTGATAGAGGAAGAAACACCAGAGCATCACGGCGGCTAGAGCCAGAGCTCGAACTGGCCGCGCGACCGCCATGTTGGACGTAATGTGGAACGCAAAGTCGCAATCGAACTCGTGGACACAGGGTTTAAGGCTATGTCTGCCGCGTCTCTTGGTCGGTGGACCGTCGTCAGCAGAAGGTTCGCGCGATTGTCGAGGGCTAGTGGAAGAGCCGAGTCGTGTCGTCCGTTTTGGTGGGAAATTCTCGGTCGCGGCTCGTGCCGTCGTTTTTGAGGTCGTTGGAGTTAAAGGGAGAAATGTTGATCGGTGTTGGCTAGGCCAGATTTCTTACGCGTAAATTTCGAAAAGGGGTGCTGCAGCAATTGTCCCGGTCGCTGGCTGGTTGAGGCTGATGTCACCCCATGAAATTTGTCAATTAGCGTCCAGTATGAGGCCTATGGCGGGTGCTTTCGTTATCCAATCCCTGTAACTGCATCGATAAGGAGGCCCAACACCCCCGCCCCCCTCCTTCCGGGCGTGGAACTGCAGTGTCGTCTGCCGGCGCGTCCTCATCGAGCAACGCAACACTGAACGCGTCTCCCGGTAGCACCAGCAAATTGTATTCATGCTTGCGCTTCTTCGCGCTCCCATGATTTGAGCCCCGACGACACCTGTCGACAGTCTATCTACGGAGTCAGATCATGGCTTTTCTCGCCAAGCTCACCGCTCTGACGGACGAGCTTGTCGAGGTCATCACATCGACGCCCGACAAGGTGTGAGACTGTTCATCCCATCTTGAAGCTGTACGCAATGCAATGCAGCTCGGCCCGTCCACTGCTAACACCGTGGCAAGCAGATCGGCCGGCAGAAGTTCAATCTCTTGCGCGAATCATCGCTGCGCACATTGAGGTACAACAACTTCCTGCGAACCAACCAATTCGATGTCGAAAACCAGCTTGTAGGGCTGGAGGAGCGATTCCGGGTCCACCATCGTGAAGGCTTGGCCGATGCGTTTAGAGAAAGCAAAAATGCGCTAGAGGAGCACCGCACCAAATGGACACCAGATATTTTGCACTTTCTTCTCGAGCTTGCCGACCGACCGACACAGAAAACACGATTGATCGACCTAGAGGTATTACGGGAACCAGATGGAGATGCTGAGCCGCCCCTCAGGTGGGAGGACATCGCCAAGGAGGATGGCTGGAACGATGATCCCGATATATGGAAGTCCATCGACTACAGCGACGGATCGGCCGACGAATACATCGACTCCAAATCAGATACCGCAAGCGAGACCGATGATACGTCGCTGTTTGGTGCCGATGTCGTAGTCGGCAGGAGGCCAGAGGACTTTGAAATCGCATCCGCGGATGATGCTGCCCTCAAAGAAGTGCAAGGCAGTCAAGCGTGGAGACAGAAAGTTGAAAAGGCGCCCTCTGGTCGGCAACACAAGGTTCCTGTCACCGAGTTCCAAACGACAAGAGAGGTGCTATTTATGTTGCAAGGCCTCCCTACGACACTTTTCCAGAAGGACGGAACTCCCGATCCTGCCTACCAGATGTCGAATATCACATGGGATACCTACAAAGCATTGATAAACGCATACGCCGAAACGGGTCGCCAGATGTCACTGTTACGGACGTTTGCGAAGAAGGCCCAGAATGCACCACTTTTCCAGGTCTTCCGTGACAACGTTCTCGCAAGCCTACGAACATTTGACACAAGAATATCTGATATTCACCAGCGTCTGTCAGTCCCGCGCGAAGATACGGTCGTCAGCATGGCGGCCATTCTTGAAGAGCTCAGGCCTCACCTTGAACCCCTGAGAGCCCTCTCTGAAATCGTTTGGCAGCTTTACGACCCGGCAAACGGCGGCGCGTTCCGTTACCTGGAGCTCCTTTACGACGAGATCGGCGTCGCCCAGTTGTCCGGTCGCAGCACGACATATGACTTTCTAGGCCAAATATTCTTCAACTGTTTCCAAGTTTATCTGCGGCCGATTCGTCTATGGATGGCGGAGGGACAGCTGATTGCAGGAGACAAAATCTTCTTTGTATCGGAGTCATCCACTCAAGTCCCACTTCGGCAGGTCTGGCAAGAACAGTTCAAACTCAGGAGAACATCAGACGGTGTCCTTCACGCTCCCAGCTTTCTTCAGCCTAGTGTTGATAAGATATTCCGGGCTGGCAAGAGCATTGTCGTCCTCAAACACCTCGGCAAGTACGAGTCGGTTCGGGCTTTGTGGGCGGAAGTAGAGCCACCTCTCACGTTCGCCTCTGTGTGCCCAACCGGCTTGGAACTTGCGCCATTCCCTGAGCTCTTCACATCCGCATTCAATCTTTGGATGCAAAGCAAGTATCACGCCACATCCGAGACGTTGAAACAGGCTTTATTCGACTCCTGCAAGCTTGAGGCAGGTATCGAGGCCCTGAAGTATCTGTATCTCATGGCCGACGGATCTGCCGCAGACACATTTTGCAAAGGGATCTTTATGAGGCTAGACGCCCTTCGGCCTGACTGGCATGATAGATACTCCCTGACCGGACTGGCGCAGGAGGCCTTCATGTCACGCGTTGATTCGACTCGTATTGTCGTCAACGTCCGCCAAGAAGGTCAGAAAGTGTCCGTCGTCGCTGCTCGCGACCAGGTTCAGAAGGCATTGCCAGAGATCGTTCTCCAATATCGATTGCCTTGGCCCGTACAGCTGGTGGTGACCCCAGATACGATTGTCCATTACCAGGCGGTGTTCACTCTGCTAATGCAGATCCGACGTGCCGCCGGTCTGCTGCAACGTAACCGCATCCTAGACGAACTCGCAACCCACAGGGAGATCTGGGGCAACAGGGCTCTGTACTATTCTCTCCGCTCAAAGCTCATGTGGTTCTGCAACTGCATCCAGACATACCTTGTCACGTTGGTATTAGCACCTTACACAGAACAGCTGCGGCGGAATCTACGAGACGCGTATGACGTCGATGCCATGATCAGAGTCCATGCAGCCTTCGTGAAGCAGGTTGTTGACGCGGCGTGTCTCGGCAGAAAATTGGATCCCATACGGGGTGCTACGTTGGACATAATGGATTTGGCTGCGAAACTAGAAGACGCGCAAAGCGCCAGTGCCGCCGAGGAGGCCGAGGAGGCGCAGGAACTGTCCCGCTTGTCGCTCATGTCCTCGCCGATGAAAGCGAGCCCTCGCCGGCGAAAACCGGTCGTTTACACCGAAGACAGTGACGATGACGGAACGGAGGGTCTCGGGGACAGGGCCCAAAGGGGCACCCTCAATGGGGGCAAGGGCTACCTCGAGAGCCTGCGGGAGATTAAAACGGATTTCGAGAGGCACTTGAGGTTCATCTGTGGGGGGTTGAGGGGGGTTGCCAGGGCTTCAAGCGACGAGGCGGCAACAAAATGGGACCTCTTGGCCGAAATGCTGGAGGTGGGCGTGAAAGAGGGCGCTTGAAAGGAGGAATGGCGTGGCTGACTGACTGAGAACTTGGTCCGTAGACCCGCAATATCTTTTAAAGTTTGACAAGGAGCTAGGAGCGAGCTGGGGATCAATGGGACTCCTTGATTCCCCATCTGATGTCGAACCGTTCGGCCAACGCCAGACTGTGTGGCTGCAGGATCCATCTGCAGGAGACTGAAATTATTGGAATCGCGCAGCGACGATCACTTTTTGGCGGGTGAACGGTCAAACACGATGGGATGATGCTCGGTGAGCCCAGCAGTCGTCCTCGTTGTATCCCACGATGCAAACGTCCACTGACCGGAGAGCGGCAGGGCTGCTTGACTGTGTCGCTCGGTCTCTACAAGGTCAATGGGTCGGTCCTGCGTGGTGATCCGGTTTTGAACCCGCAAACTGTGGTCTTCGCGAGTGATACGAGCGTCCCAATGCGACGGGTGGTGATTCATGACCAACCGGCTGTTGGAGGCGTACCTTAGTCCAAGGACCCCTTTTCACGGACCATTCGGGAACAGAGTACCATCGTCTTGCTTTTTCACGATGGCGTCCTGCGCGTTGCTCTAGCGGTGTTAAGACGCGCATGCAATGGACCCCTGTTTTCGCGGGACGGAATCAACGACGCTGCCAACTTTTCGGTCCCCAGCCGTCCTCAAACCTTGGAACGAGCAAGATCGACAGTGGGGCACCCTCGGGTCGAGGCTGGACGACCAAGGATGCCATATCCAACAATTTCACCACCTGTGCCCTCAACTTTTTCTGCCCATTCAGTGTCGCATTCTGCAGCGGCCAAACGGTGTCACGTCGACCCCTCAGTTCCTTTGTCTTCTGGGCATATCCATGTCTGCCCTGTTCATCAGCCCACGGCGGCCGTCGACGATAGACGACCATTTGAGTTGGGGGTTGCGTTGGTGCCCGAGTTGGAGAAGGAATTCCATGAATGTCGGGAAATTTGAGAAGCTCGGGCTCTGCTGCGCGTGATCAGGTTCGATGGACGGATGACCTTGGTTCTGCACGTGTGGACAGGGAAAGTCGGGAGTCAGATGGAGATTGGTGAGGCTCGTCGCCGGACGACGCCGACAGCGCGGGTTTGACTTTGGCTAGCGTTCAGGTTGGTCCCCTGGAAACCGGAGGTAGCTCCTACGAGGTGAGAAAGTGCCCAGATGTAGTGACGTTGGCAATTGTGGACTTATGAATTGCTTGTGATGTGAAGCAGAAAGATGCTCAGTTTCGAGATGTCCTTGCGGCGCGGACGGTAGTGTTCATGATTGAAACGGTGACAATACTCAGAAAACGGAAACTGGCTGTCGTCGTTGCGCAACCGTTAATGTATTGCGGAATTTCTGATCTGCCGGAATTCCGAGGGCCGTCTGTTAGGTGGGGCTCACGTACCGTCCGTGCCCCACCTTTGTCATCCATCAACCATCGAAGTTAGCTTGGGTCAGTGCAGGCAGCTTTATCGCGACATCTTCAACCTCTTCAACAGCGACTCCCACGACTGTGCGCCACCGCAACCACAAACCACACCGAGTCGCCCATCATGTCCGAGCGAAAAGTTCTCCAGAAGTACTACCCCCCGGATTTCAACCCGGCAGACATCACCCGCAAGCGTGGGCCCAAGTCGACGGGCCCCAAGTGC